CTTGTTTGTGTTCAGGTCAGCTGCCATGACAGAGCTGTCTCCAGTAAATTCAGTAGTGAGACTGACAATAATCGTTTTTTTCATTTACCAACTGCTGATCTGTAGGGGGATGTAAAGATGGTTTTGCCCAGTCCATGAGTTTTGGCCCTGACACACTCACACACACACACACACACACACACACACACACACACACACACACANTTTCAGTATTTGCTGAAGGTCCCATGTATGAGATGTGTCAGACAGCAAACAGCAGGATGTGGTCTCACACTAGGTAGGGAAATTAACCCTTCGTGGACCCGTCACCCCTCTGTCCTTTGGAGCACCTGGTCTGAATACTGGTGGGCTCTAATCGGGTCCACGAAGGGTTAATTTCCCTACCTAGTGTGAGACCACATCCTGCTGTTTGCTGTCTGACACATCTCATACATGGGACCTTCAGCAAATACTGAAAATTAGCAGCGAATAACAGTGCCATGTCTGGAAATACAGATGTATGCATTAGGCACACATGCATACAACACACACTCATTACCACTAATCAACAAGGCGCATGCTCTTTGGGTTTCTTGGGTCTGTTGGGGTTAATTTGCAAACCATTTATTACTTTATTATCATGTCATGCCTTTATTCACATGACGCTCACTAGCCGTATGCATAATATTATAACGCCATAATTGCTGTCACTTCAAGTGCAAGATTATTTCTTCCTTAAATGAAGTGATAGTGTGTTTCCATTGTTGTGGATGACAGGGGAGGGGACATACGAGTTAATTAAGTATGATTAGGAAGAGCTACAATCACTGAACCAACTGGGTTCTATAGCTCAGTACTCTGCTCAGTAATTGCTTCCTTTCCTTTCCTTCACTTTCCTTTCCTTTCCACTCGCTGCTCCCTCATATGGTTTCTCCTTTCTGACCATCCATGCATGGGAGCTGTTTCTTTTGAAGAAGAGAGCTGGAGAGCCCTCTGCTGGCTGGTTTGGGTAATTTGGCCACAGTGATGAATTAAGTGAAGTGAGCCAGTTATCAGAAAAAGTACAATGAGAAGTTATTCAGAGGTTTAACAAACCAAACCAAAAAAAACAAATCAATTTTTCTTCCAGATGTTGGGGGGTTGTTGGTACCTCAACATTCAAGACAATCAGAAACAAAAAAGTTCATAATATCTTTGAAGCAAAACAGAAGTATCATGTTAAGACATTTATATTAAAAAGAAAATTGTAGTCACCATCTACAGCAAACATCCTGACAATTTAGTTAAGTTGTTCATTCTTCTTCTAACATAATTGTTGACTGTCACCACATAAGAGTTATGGCTCTAGTATGGCAATGTCTTTTCCCCAAAGTAAGATTATGACAAATGCTTGATTTATTTTAAAGGGGCCCTAATATCCTTGTTTGCCGGTTCGTATTAAATAGATTGTATTTTGTTACTCTACTTTGACATGTTTACGTGCTTTAATTTTCTAAATTGTATTTCTTTGTCTCATACTTAGGTGGACATAAATAATACTTTAAGGATGAAGGTAACCCCTTACCTTTTCACCAACCAGCCAATATTTCCACTCTGAAAAAAAAAACAGAACCGATATTCATGACACTTGTTAAGCATGTTCATACTCCTCTGAGGATTAACCCTTCAGACTTGAATGACTCCACAACTTTTCATCCAGTATAGTACAAACTGGTACATTATTACTTTTAAGGCTCTAGTTACACTACTGTAACTGCATTTCTCATCAATTCCAATAGCCAATATTGCTTTGGCCACCAATAAATGTTCCATCTGCTTTAAAAAGCAATGCACAGGGGCCTCCTTAAACTTTGCAATTATAAGCATTCAGGACTGTGTGCCATGCAGTGGATAAGATGGTTCCAAACCGGGCTTGTGAGTTACTAGGAACGTCAGTGACAAGCACACCACTGGCATCTCATTTACCACTGCTGGCCTATCAGTGACCAAACGTCATAGGTTTTGACTAAGCTGCTGCCAGCCGCTGTCAGCAGTCTTATTTTGGCAGTAGTAAAAAGAGAAAAAGCACTAAATAATACCACCTGCAGTTCAATGCTCACAATAGCGGCTGTGTTTCCATGATCACCTCCTCCTGTGGTCGTAAAGATCTTCAAATGGCTAGTGTCCATTGTATTTGAAGCAAGTGAAATAAAGATGCAACTTCTTCTTATAATAGACTTATACAAGGTGCAACAGTTGGTTGCTGGATGCATAGCAATTAAGCTATCTACTATAGCTGTAATATAATTATGGTAAAACAAAATAAACGTAATTTTAGCTGCCAATGTTAATTTATATAGCAATGTAAAACTATGTCTCGCAATGTATTTCATAAATAAAATAGATATTATTACAGAATTAATGGATGATTGAGGATCAGGCTTGAAACCTTTTAAATCTTGCAATTCTTTCCATCTGTAGCGACAAACAGCCTATGTTGAATCACTGTGGCACCCGTGTTATGCCCTTTAAGCTTTTCGGTTCTAACATACTGCCTTTAAAACTTTGTCTATAAAAATGTAAACCTTGGCTCTTCTAGTCTGCGTGCTGTTAATAGTTTTGTAGTATTTAATGGGAAATTGGACCTGGTGACCAGCCCATATACAGTATATGTGAACAGCATAAAATATTATACATAAGAATAGTCAATCTTATCGCTGATAGCCTTGTTTGAACCTTTGGTATTAAAATGAGACATTTTCCTCACTAAAACAAAACTCCTTGTTATTCCTGTACCAATGAACAATTAAGGTTTCAACAGAAGAGAGCTTACATAATCTTCAATCAGGAAATGTAGCTTTTCCTATTTTTTTGTTTTGTTTTTATTTTCATAATATGATCCTGCAGATAACATTTTCTACTTTTTAGCCAGAAGATGCTGATAACCACAACAAAACACTCAATATTATCTAGCCATTGATACAGTGTCATCTTTATGATTTGGAGATACTTGTCTCTGCTGCCACCCCAAAACAACAGATATGCAATAAATTGTGTTTATTGTGTTCAAAACATTGTACAATATGAAAAACAGTGATTTTATCTTCCATATAAAATCTTTTGGTTTAATAATCCAAATATTACTGTCAACAAATAAGAACAAGTCCTTCTGTAAATAGTGTTTTAATGCAAACCTTTCACAGTGAGGTCTGTGGATCGGTAACTGGGACACACAACAAAGAAGACATGTTGTTGAGTGTTTACATGCAATTTAAATGAACCTAAAACCACATGTCACTAACATTTTACCTATTTTTAAGCAACTCCATTGTTTCAGGATACTGACATAAGTCCTGGACATGGATATAGAGAAAGTGATTACAGTCCTTGGTATAATGCTTATTGGTTTCCCCTTACGTTCTCTTTAGATTGCACAGATTTGTCCTCCATGAGCTCTGCTACTATTTCAAATTGCTTGCCTCCGTTTTAGAAAGATTGTCTTTTTCTGGTATCTTTCCCTTTTAATCTATTTTACTGTCATTATGCTTCCATATCACAATAGGAAATATATTTCTTGTGGTTAAAGTTGTCATCAGATTAAACTGAACTCAGAAATGAGAATTACCACTAGTAAAACAACAGAGGAGCTGAAAATGTTCTGTTTCAGAGGTGTATAAACCTTTGTTGTATATTTGTTTAGTTAGTCTGATTTTATGTATGACCATACTTAATCATGAAAGCATTTTCGATTTTAAAACTATTTTTCCAAAGTCTCTATGGCTGGCAAGGCAGCAAAAATTCAGATTTACACAAGTGCCGTGAAAAGATTAACATGTATTGTGCGGAAATTATCATAACAGATGTAAAAACACATGTTAAACACAGATAACAAAAATGTCTAGAACCACAATGTACCAAAATGAACACGCTGACATCACAGGTGACACAGAAGACCCAGTTGACCTTTAGCATTTGGTGGCTATATAACAGAATTACACTCGGATGTACAATGACTTACATAAGTCAGATCTAGTCCCAGCAGTAGGATATATATTCATAATTAAACTTGGTGTTGTGGACAGTTTGATCACAGCTCGTGTGTGTGTGTGCATGTGTGTGTGTGTGTGGCCTAGCATTACTATCCTTGTGGGGACCGACATCTGTTTACACAGCCACGTGTGGGGACTGGCTTCCCTTATGGGGACAAAATGGAGGTCCCCATAGGGGGAATCATTAATTTTAGGGTGAAGACTTGGTTAGGGTTAGGGTTAGGGTAAGGGTTAGGGTTTAGGGTTAGACATGTGTTGGTTATGGTTAAGGTTAGGATAAGTCTCCAGGAAATGCATGTAAGTTAATGTAATGTCCCCTGAAGTAATGTATACATGGTGTGTGTGTGTGTGTGTGTGTGTGTGTGTGTGTGTGTGTGTGTGTGTGTGTGTGTGTGTGTGTGGTTGTTTATGTGTTTGATCAGCGAGGTCTTTGAAGCAAACATGCCCCCTCTCTCTTGGCCACTCTTGCTCCCAGTAGCGCAGATGAAAGCTGATATGTGTGATAGATAGAGTCCACCCGCCTGCTTCTGCCAATTCAGACCAATAAAAAGGAAGCATCATCTAATATTGCTGATACAATCACAAGTCTGCGCTTACCATTTAAGGGTGTGGGTCATTCTGTCTCTGTTTGCAATGGATGTGTGTCAATAAATGGGTTTCTTAAATTCTGAATGAAAAGTTAGTGTAGGTTCAGACAGATGAATGAAACAGAACGAGACAGACAAGAGAATGCAAGAAGATTTCGATGGGGGAGTGAAATGTGACTGGTAAGAAGGAGGCAGGAGGCAGGTGGCCGGCCTGCTGTACACTGACCAAACCCACAAACAGCTGTTCATTTCTCAAAAGCCCCCTTGTGCCCCCCTACAAGCATCAATTCTCTCTCTATTCCCCCCATATACGTCCCTCTCCTGCAATACCCCCACCCCCACCCTCTAAAGACACAATTTCTGTCCCCAGTCCATCCAGCCATCCCTCCCTCCCACCTCACCCCACTCCAGCTAGCCTACTTTGATCATGTTCCAAAATCAGGACAGGAGACACAGCTGGTTCAGCACTACATTTCTCCCATTCAGCTGTTTGGACTCATTATTTGCAGCAATAATGAAAAAAACATCCATCTGTACAATGCCAGCAGTGGAAGAAATATATGTACACAATGTTGTTACATTATTATATTGCTCCTTAAAGGTACAATGTCCAAGAAATGCCCAGAATTTCACTTACAAACAGTAAAAAAGAATCAACAGAATGTGAAGAAGTAACAGTTTTGACTTTATGTCCAATAAGTCAATGTATTGTGAAGAGATATCTACTGCTAACTGACTACCAATGGCCCGTCCTGTCTTGTTATAACACTTGTTCCATGAGAAATAATAGTGAGTTACAGAAGAGTGTAGTCTTCACTGAGTTCAATATTAGAGAAAAAACAAGTTGAGCTGCCAGAGGGCTTTTCAGTGAAACAAAAATACAAAAATAGCTAAAGCTCTTGGTGAGCGACCTTTATCCCCACCCAAAGCACCCATTCAAGCTAAAATGTTTGGCGGCAAAGAAAGTGAGTTGAAAAGCATTAAACAAGTGAAACCTCGAACTATCAAGTGACACCTAACCCTATTGCTGCAGTCACGTGAAACGCGATTTGTGGTAAATGGGGTCAGAGCACCATACAAACACAACAGCATCAGCGCAGAGCCGTTTTACACCTTGTCAAGTGAATGCAGCTTAACCCTAACCCTGATAGCAGTTTGGTTGAGTTTGTGGTATTCTTGCCCTGCTGTTAGTAAGTAGCAGAATTTTCTTAGTTTAGCCTGGATGGACCCAGTTGACGATTGGTTAATCATATTGTAACAACTTTGCATTACTGTTAGGATGAGGCAAGATTTAAAGTTGAAAAATGAATAATCTGAATAACCCTCTAACATTGACTTGTTGTGACATTAATGTTCTTGTTGTGACATTAATGTTCTTAGAAATGCATATTTTTCTCATATAAATAAAGCAAAGTTATGGAAAACAGAAAAGTAGTGTATCTGACTGTTTTGACATCCAAAGGGTGCTACTGCAATATTGATCACGTCTTTCCAGCCAGTTTAACATCCCATGAGTGTGCTGCTGTGTCCCAGTGCACCAGATAAAAAGGTCAGTCCTTTCTTCCGCTGCAGGCCAGATGGCAGGCTCACTTGCTGCCTCTCAGCGCACGGCCCACCAGCATGAAGACCATCCCAGAGACGAGCACCAGAGGAACGCCGGCGGCAGCCACCATGAACGACAGGCCGTAGAGCACAGACACCTGAGCATCGGGACACGTCTCCCCCCTCTCCTGCAGGACGTAGCGCTTCACGTCCATCACCTCCATCCACAGCACGTAGAGCAGCAGCAGGAACAGGAACAAGAGGGCTGGAGAAGTTTTAGAGAGACACAGATATCACTCTTGTGAGTAACACCAGAGGAATGCAGCTCCTACTAAATTCTAATGTTACCACAGTAGCAGTGTATAAACCCGCTGTTGTTAAAGCGACAGTCATGGGCATAATTTCCACTGGGGACAGGAGGGACACTTTTGAAAATCCCGTTGGTGTCCCCCCCACTTTTCAAATGTGTTTTTTTTTTACGCAAACAGTCATTGTCACGGAGGAGCGTCTGTGTGTACGAGCACATTTTGTGAGAGAGAGAAACAGAGAGAGAGAGAGAGAGAGAGAGAGAGAGAGAGAGAGAGAGAGAGGGAGAGAGAGAGACAGAGAGAGTTACAGAGGTTGTTGTTAGTATCTGGTGCTAGCTCGGAGCTAACGAAGATTAGAAGCTGTTTCAACAATAAGGAGAGGGAGAGTCCTCTCCTGTCGGACTGAGATGCTGAGATAACGTCAGTTTAGGTGAGGTAAAGGACTCTCTGAGTGATTTAACTTCAATTTAAAGAAATAAATCTTCCCGGGGGTGCATGCCCCTGGACCCCCCTAGAGGATGTGAAGTCCACCCACAAATAAAACAGGTTCACATGGATAGGATACTAGATAATTTTGCACACTCAATATGTAATACACTACACATTTTTCTTGGACTTTTTAACACCATAGTCCCTAATATATTTGTAGAAAGGCAGGAAATGGAATTGCATCGAGAAAATGTTTAATTGCGGTGGACCCCCTGTTTTCTGACCCCACTTCTCAAACCAAAGTTACACCCTTGGCGACAGTAGACATCTGCTGCTCTGTGTGTTGGTGTTTGTCATGTGAACGAAATCAACAGCTGACAGCATGATGACTGAGACATGTGTAAGTGTCTGTGCATTCACCTATTCCCCTAGCAGCATATTTCACACTGCAGATAGATACCATGGTTATATCTCCTCACATGGAGGCGCATCTGCCAAATGTGAAAGCAGCCTGTTGCAGTTGCTCCTGTGAGGTTTCAACCCAGTCTCACAGCATTTCGTGTTATAGTCATGACATTTATTTAATCTATTGATTCGTGTTCACCAACACGATTTTCGCATTTTTTTCGTGTCTCACAGAACAATTTTAAAAGCAATGTATTTCTATTGGTAGTATGTTTCGTGTCTGCACCACGTCTTTTTGTCCGGTCGGGTCTTGGAAGACCGGAAGCTGTGTGGTTCATAAAAACATTTTCTTAATCAATATCTTACCCTAACCCTATCCCTTTTATTTTAAATTGTATAATGTCTGGGTTNAACGATAATCGTGGTTTGATATTGAGTAAGAAAATGTTTTTATGAACCACACAGTTTCCGGTCTTCCAAGACCCGACTGGACAAAAAGACGTGGACGAAACATACTAGCAATCATGGGCGCGGGAAGGGGGGTGCTGAGGGCGCTGCAGCACCCCCTAGCGGCAGGCAGGGGGTGCGGAGCTCCCCTGTCTGAATTNTTAGAAGGAAAGATTTCAGTACTCTGAGGCTCTGAGCCCCATTTATTTTCCTCGCGGACGGCAAAAAAACCCAGACATTATACAATTTAAAATAAAAGGCCCTTTTATTTTAAATTGTATAATGTCTGGGTTTTTTTGCCGTCCGCGAGGAAAATAAATGGGGCTCAGAGCCTCAGAGTACTGAAATCTTTCCTTCTAATTTCTTATTATTTGGTGCAGGCACGAAACATACTACCAATAGAAATACATTGCTTCTAAAATCGTTCTGCGTCAGAATACTGAAATCTGTATTTTTTAAAATCTTTTTTTTCCTTCTAATTTGTTATTATTTACATTGCTTTTAAAATTGTTCTGTGTGACACGAAAGAAATGGCGAAATCGTGTTGGTGAACACGAATCAATAGATTAATTTCGTGACTATAACACGAAATGCCGTGCGACTGTGTTGGAGGTTCAAACGTTTAGTTGTATTATTTGATCTAAATTGTAATTTTTCTATTACTAACTTCTATAGTAACTTATTAAGCTGTGCCATCTTTAAACTTTCTTGTAGGGAAGGTTTTGTTTCCCATAAACGCCTTGTTTACACCAGGGACAGCTGATAGCAGGACTAGCATAGCAGTCGATACAACGGCTACCCCCAATCTGAAGGATTCAGATTCATGCAAAGAAGGAAGAGAGCTGGGTCCAGATTTATGGACATAAGGAGATATAAGTTGTTTCCCGCCTTTCATCATGGGCCACGTAAAAGATCCGTGGCTAATGGAATGGATGAGCTAACGGCATTAGTTAGCAGTAAGGGAGAATATCTGAACTGTGCTTTATGAAAACATCAGAGGACAACATTTCCATCAATGGATTCTGGACTGCTCGTGTAATATTTACATAAACAACGTTTCCATCAACAACGTTTATTTATTATATTTTAAGGATTAAAATGCAACAAAACCTAATTTCCCTCTGGGATTAATAAAGTGTTGTGATTGATTGATTGATGTACAAAGACGATGTTTTACCAGCAGCGATGAGGAAGGCACCGCCCACTTTGTAGAGTTTGTGGCTGAAGAAGGGGATGCCGCAGACCAACAGGAAGCCTCCAGTTAGAGCAGCGACCAGGCCAAAGATTATCAGCACGGTCCAGAAACCCCGAAACACTGCAAGAAATAAAACCAGGTCACCATCAAAAATAAGTAATTTATCTATCTATATGGCATAGTATATGACAGGAGATGGGCTAGCATAGACATAAAGATTGAGCTGGCATAGTTCCATATTTGTCAGCTTCCGGGTCACAATCTCCCTTACACAATAAATGCTTTAGACATATCCATAGCTTCCCTGCATTACAGTATCCAAATTAAATATAGAGGACATACTGCTGATAGTTCAAATGAGTTGTATTGCAAACAAAACATTAGTCTTTCATGGTCAACCAGGTTTTCTGTTTATGTTTGGTGCCACACACTTGAAACACTTTGAGGTCCGAAGTAGGACATTTAAACTGGAAACATTCCCACCTTCAAGTTATGTTGAAAGCATATGTGTGAGTGTGTTACCTGCTGTCGCATCATAACTTGGATGAGGCACCTGTCCAACTGCAACAGGCAGGGGAAAGAGGTAACCATGGATACACACCTTGGATTCTGGCTGGTTGGCTGAAAAAGTAAAAAGAAAAGTCTTGAAGAACCACTATAGAGTGTTTAAACACACAAGAGCTAAAATACTCCACACACTTACATAGATGCCAACACATTCTTCTTGTTCTCCTGTATATTTTCCATCCAATATCAAAAGTATACACATTTTTCTTTCCTGCACTTGTTGCATGTCAAGCAGACCACACTGCTTAGCACAGTGCAAATACATTGAACGAGCCCTAACCAAACATGTTTGTCGCCTTGTTAGAAGGCATACATACTGAAGAGAATGGCCAGGTGTGCGCTCGCCGAGGGATCCACCTGAAACACACACCGCCAAAAGAAGCCCTCGTGGTGCAGAGTGAGAGGTGGAGGAGAAACAGTGACTGCCTCCACTATCTCGATCTAAAAGAAAGAAGAGATATCAGCACACAAACATAGAGACGGTTACTGAAATGTCTGAGGACTTAATGTGTGTCAGATTTGTCAACACTGCTCTGTTAGTGACTCAGCACTTCAGCAGGGGCACGGCATCAAACGTGGTTCTCATTATGGCCTGCCGTCGTCTGTGAGGTTTTTGAGGGGAACTCATGAAACACGCATGAGTGATACTCTCCATTTGCTTGTCAAAAGAATGATTGATGGTGCTGAATAACGCACAGCAACTTAAATCATCCTCTTTTATTGAAAATGAAAGACTTAGTTGTGCTGCAGAGTTAGGGAGGAGTTCAACAAGGGATTAGCTTTTTATAAATATATCTCTTACTTTGCATTTTGTGAACTTTCTCAGAATGTTGCATGGCTGAACAGACTGGGAAATACAGGGGCTCTCTGCTGAGTTTACACATGTAGATCTTTCAGTACTACACTGCATGTGAAAACAGCCATGTGATTGTTGGAGAAAATAACTCAGATGATGTCATCAAACGAATTACAATCTCATAATTTCTTAGCTGCACCTTCTATTTAACGCTAATTAGCAAATGCTAGAATGCTAACATGCTAAATTCATCTAATGTAAAACTTCGTAAGACTGCTGTGAAAATAAAATCTTGTATCATTATGATCGAAGTGTGTCCTATAAAGACATATTTTAAAAGCCTTGAAAACAAATGGATTTTATAGAGACATTGAAAAGCTCCGAAGACACTGCCCTACACTTGCCAAACCAAAAGTAACTATGCTCGCCAACGGATAAAAGCCATCCCAAGATGAGCTAAAGTATGTTCGCTTGGCATTTTGCCTTAGTTCCGTTCTTACAACCTTTTTTCTGCCTTTTTTGTAACTTTCTTCTACCATGGGACACCTAGTGGCTGCATTTTTGTAGTGGTTGACACCAGAAATACAACAAAAGGAAAACATATTGAAAATCTAGGTAAAGAGCTGCACATACAGACATCACCAATAACTTGTAAGGGCTCATAAGAGATGCTTAAAACAGACTCAACTTTTAACGGTTTTGGCATTGAAGTCAGAAGGTTGCAGGGTCAGGTTCTGGAACGACCAAGTCCTGCCGTGGTGCCAATGAGCAAGGCACCGCCCCTACACTGCCTCCCGGGCGCTGTACATAATACAGTAGCTGCACACTGCTCCTAATACAAGGATGGGTTGAATGCAGAATCCTTGAACAATTCTCCAGCTTGGGATGAATAAAGTATAAACCTATCTATGAGTTTCTACATATTTTTTGATAGGGAAATGCATTCCCTTTGCCTTTAAGTCCTCTAACTTTACAAAAGGGCATTTCCAAATTATTTTGGTACCTCTTTAAATATCCCTTTGTGATATAGTGTGCTCACCACGGTCTGATCAGATTCCACATTGGTCCTTTTGTGGTTCTTGCATGTGATGTTGTGACTATTATTATGTGCATTTGTTCAGTTGGAGCTCACTGACTAATTCTGACAGCGAGCAGTGAGGTTTCCATTCATGAATATCTAATTGAGTTAGTGAATATCCAATATGTGCACACATGTTTCCGTCCTACCTCAGTCCCATTGGCATCTGTTGTCAGTCTTGTTTGTGTGGGCCATGTATACGGTCCACAGTTGTCACTGGCCACCAGCCAGTAGTCCGTAGTGAAGGCAATGAAGAAGCACAATGTCCCCACTACCCCAAATATCCCCCCAGCCAAGGTTGCAGGTCCCACCCTCATAACTCCAGTACAAAAGTCCTTCACTGCTCTTTAACCTCAGCTTTCAGTCTGATTATCCTCAGCTCCTCTCTGGTGTCCACTCTGCAGCCCTCTGCCCAGACCCTTAAATCTCAAACACAAACAGTCTGCCACTCCCTGGCATACTGGGAGCTGTGGGGAAAAGCAGCACCAGTAACTGAGGAGGTCAGGCAGGGGGACAGGAGTTATTTTAGGGAGCAGTAAGCCTGTCCTCGTCAAATTACCAGTGGGTGTGCTTCACAAGGAAACAAGAAGAGGCAGGATTGGTTTGTGCATGTGCTTATAATGTAGACAGCCAGTATGAGCCAAGGTATTTCTAAGGTAGTTGTTAACCTTTAAGTGCAACTTTGAAAACAAATTAGACAAAAGATGCAAATGACCCACAAACCTCTGACAAAGGTGTTCATGAGGTGAGAGCTTAGAAGGATTTGTTTTAGCTTAAAATGATAAAACCAAGAATTATTCGCTGCATTTTAAAAGTTTTAATGTGAAGGTATCCATGAAAATGCTAAACCTTTTATCAACCTTTAAATCCCACAACTCTATGGATAAATACATATGAGATAATTATCACTTTATGGAGCCATTTTGATCCATTTTAAATGTCTTCTTTGTCACATTCTGCCTTCATGGCTGCTTCTCGCTCTCCAAAACAAAGCTGAGTTGTTTCCTCGCGGCTCTCTCCGCAGGGGCTTCATGTTGTTCTGGAGAGATCTGCTCCTCTCTGAAAGCTTCAGAGTCCGGATCCACTCGTCCTCTGGTCTGAGCTGAAGCTGCTGGGACTGATGCGTCCTGCAGGACAGGCCTTGGGCTCATGGAGCACACTTCAAAAGAGGAGAGCTGCAGTGTAAGTCAGAATGCTATAGATGTCAAGGTCAAAGGTCAGGAGGTGGAGTGAGACAAGGGACAATATCATGAGTTTTCTATATTTTAAGCCAGTGTTTCGTTAATGAATACTGACAGCATTAGAGAAGACAAAGGCCTGGGTCAGCAAAACTGTTTATTGATTAGGGCTTAAACATATTGGGAAAATAGGCTATGAATATATTAATATAATGTATAAAGTTATAAATATAACGATAGCGATTTTACTTTGGATAAAGAATTAAAGTGTAATCAGTTCTATTTTTCTGCTGCTTGACAATACTGCCAAAACAACAACTAGTTTGTTGAATTAAAACAAATATTTAAGGAGATTATTTGTACAACATTTTTTGGGAAGAAATTGAAGTGAAATCAAAATAAGGGATGGCTTATTTAAGATTGCTGATTGTACTCCTCTCTTTAGACAAACAAAATAAAAGATTGTCGTCTTTAATGTTTTTATTGCTTACATTAATAATGCAATGATGATATCCAAAAAATATATATTATGCAGCCCTAATATGTTAATATATAATATGTTGTAATAATACATCACTTTATTAAAAAAAACTTTCTGTCAGCCATTTACTTGTTTTCCCATTTATAGTTCCCATAGCGGTAACTTAGATTCACTCACACACACACACACACACACACACACACACACACACACACACACACACACACACACACACACACACACACACACACACACACACACACACACACACACACAAACATTTGAAACATAAAAACATTCATATCATTGGGACCTTAGTCTGGAACAGAGTACTGAAACCTGAAGGGAAAACATAGCATATTTTTGTCTGATATTTGTTTTTGTAGATTTATATGTAACAAACGTACCTGTGTGGGACCTGCTGAGTCCTGCTCTCCCTCTGCATGAGCCGTTAAACTCTCCATCCTCCCCCTGTCACAACAGAGCAAAACAGGCAATGAAAGTACACCATAAAAAAACCTGGAGGTTTTAACTAAATCTGTCTGTTGAAATAAATGGGCCTTAATGGAGCGTATTGATAATTTTCCTCGAGTAAAATGGTTTTCATGAATAATGGATACATGTCACTGTCTTTCTTTAATCTTTCTTTCTCAAGTGATTCATAAAGAAATACAATAGCAAACAATATTTAGTTGGCTTTAAAGGATCTCTGTAAACTATTCTGGGACATTAGTAAGGATTCAATCATTTATGTTTTTCAATTGACTACATCTTACGTGACTTTTGAATGGTGATAGTAACTTGATTTGCTGAAATGTTCACTTGCTTTAAGAAAAATTATATTTGTGTTTTCATGGATACAGTACCTGAGTGTTGTACGTGCATCTTTCTCCCAGACTCTGGTGTCTGTGGAGAGGCTTCCTCGCTCGACCCATGGTGGCGTCCTGGTGCAAAGTGTGTCTGCTGTAGGCCGGTCTCTGCTTGAGGGACCACACAAGCACACACCAACAGCAGATGAATAGCACATACCTATAGTGCATGTTCAGTTAATTCTTCATCGAACCAAAGCTGTGAATTTACCATGTTATTGAAGTGTTGAAGGTTTCTTGAGAGAATACGCCGGATGCTCTCCATCTCCTCGGGCAAGAGGGGGCGGGTGTGGGAGCGGTGGTCCACTCTAAAAGGGAGCAGTGATTATTAAGATCCATTTAGCCAAAAACTGTGTTGAGATAACCGATATTTCCTCAATGTTCAGTGCCATGAAGTAAGAATGTGCCATGAAGTAAGAAAAAAGCTATGGTGGAAATTATGTTAACGTTCATTTTCAAACTGCTTTTCGTCTTTTTGTTTACTTTTACAGAGTTGTGTTCTCTGTATTTTATATTTCTATGTTATTTGTAATAATGTGTAACGTTGCTGCCTTCTTGGCCAGGTCAGCATTGTAAATGAGATCATGGTCTTGACTCTTCTCAGTTTTTATGCCCCCACTCTTTAATGAAATCCTTAAGATTAAGGGATCCCTAAGCCTTATACAAGAGACTCTGACATAAAGTAAAAACATGTTTTCTCACACTGGCGGGGGGGCCTCCTCATCTCCCCTCTGCTCCCTTCTCTCCAGCTCCTGGTAAACTCTGAGGATGCTGGAGTGGGCCTGGTGATCGTCACGGATCAGGAAACGACGAAGATACTTCTTATTGAACTGCTCAAACCTCACAAACACACATAAAGTACATGTCAGTCGTCACTTGACATTATTAGTTGTCCTTTCAGTAGGAAATGGTCAGGAACTTTTGCATAAGGTATTTGCTGCCACCTATTGACCATACCAGGTCTTCAATAATATAACTTTAGGAGAAACACCTGCCACACATAAACTGTAAAGTCAATGTAAAACAAGAAAAACGAACTTGTCTTTCCAGTAGTGCTGCCCCCAGTAACCAACCACATCCTCTATTCCTGCCAGAAGGTGGTCAATGAGCTGAAAGGACACAATCATTTAAAGTTCATTCATTTACATTTTGCCTATTATGTAATTGTTCATTGATTATTTTAAAGGAGGTTTTCATTCATTCATGCTGCATATCTATTAAGAAAGTATTGTCAAAGGTTCTGAAATATAACTATCTATGCGTATCTATCATTATTTTTGGTGTTCACAGATAAAGGGGCGCATTCTTTTTTACTAAAAATATGAATCAACTGTAGTTCATTGTTGTTGCACCTTTACTTAGAAGATGGATAAATGTTCACTATACGATGACACTAAACAATCATGCTTTATTTAATTAGGTAGTTAATATGCTTTGATATCAACATTGTCTGACAGCATGATTCTCAAAGCAAGAAAAGTATTACAGTGAAGGTCTGAAGCTAATTGGTGCACACTTTTAAATGTAATTATAACTAATTGTTACAATTACTTACACTGTAGTTTGTAATGATCTGGATTTTATGCAGACCTATTTGCGTGCGAAGGAAAAAATACCAAATCATTATTTTGGTGCAACCTTTAAAAGTGTATACTGTCTACCTTGCAGACAATGCTGAAGGCCCACCATATTGCCATAGGTGATGTAATTCCTCACCCTGCTGTGGATCTCCTCACTGACTGTATTTAGACCTCTCTTCTTCCTCTTCACATCCAGCAACTCCACTAGAGGTTTAATAGTCATCCCCTGTAAAGCAGACAAAACCAAACTCAACAAATATACAAAAAAGTACTCAATGTAACCAAAAAGAAAAAAATAACCATGTTTTTTCTGAAGTGACATAGTTCTCACACCTGTACAAAGACAGTGAAGAGGATGACCACGATGGTAGTTGTGATGAAGAGTCTCTTCTTTGGGAAGTCATCGATCAGGAAGACGAGAGAGAAGCAGATCGCCCCTCTCATGCCTCCATAGGCAATGATGAACTGATCTCTAAATGTCACAGTGTTCCTCCGGAGCTTGTTCACCACAGCGGTCAGCAGGAGAACACCTTCAGAGGAAATGAAATGTGTCGGTTCTTTATTTTGACAACTGTTTATCAAGCTTTGGCGAGAAACAGCACATATTTTTAAAGCTACCTGAGGCCCTCCAGACGAGGCAGAGCAGCAGCGTGGAGCAGACGAAGGGCCAGCTCCACATGTGGACATCCTGTATTGTGGACACGCCGAGGAAGATGAAGATGAGGGTCTCACTCACACTGCTCCACATCTTCAGGAAGTACTGGATGCTGGTGTTGCTGCGCTCGGACACATTAGCCTCCACATACTGCTTCATGGTCACAGCGCAGGTCACAATGCTGCAGAAGGGGAAAACAATGTAAAACATAATCAGAATTACCAAGCACCCATTTGGCTCAGTGCGTTGTTTATATACACTGGTAAGCTGTGGAAGGCACAAAATTGTTGGGAGAATGGGTCAAAATGACTTTGGTCTTTCACCCAGAATATCGATGTTTGTATCCCGTAGCGTAGAATAACCAAAAGTCAACATGAAAACATATCTTGAGTAGGTGAGCAAACTAATGTTTCATAAGTACTTAACTCAGCCAATGTGGATCACTTTACTTACGTATTTTATTTAGGTAACGTAACAAATAGAACCTTAACCCTCAACCTAACCCTTATAACCAAAACTTGATCTTTTTTAAAACTTACCAAGTAGTTTTGTTTCAATTCACATTGTTAACCAACTGTTTGAAATTACAACCCTTTCACAAGTTACGGGAAGATGAAGTTTGCCATTTTAGTTGCTGATAACATGTTAACTCTCAATGAATATAAGAAAGCACTGCGTAAAGCGAGAGCAGCTTATTACTCTTCATTAATAGATGAGAATAAGAATAATGCAAGATTTCTTTTCAGCACTGTAGCCAGGCTGACAGAGAGCCACAGCTCGACTGAGCCTTCTATTCCCATAGCACTCAGTAGCAATGATTTTATGTGCTTTTTTAACGATAAAATTGTTACTCTTAGAAACAAAATCAATGACCTCTTGCCTTTGACCAGTATAGTATTATCAACAGCTCCCGGAAACGTAAGTTCTAATATTACACTAGATAGTAAACTAGAATGCTTTTCAGCCATAAACCTTGAACAATTAAATTCAATGATTCTCTCTTCAAAACCATCAACGTGTATCTTAGACCCGATTCCAACTAAGCTGTTAAAAGAAGTTTTTCCATTAATTAGCACTTCTTTATTAAATATTATGAATATGTCTTTATTATCAGGCTATGTTCCACAATCATTCAAAGTAGCAGTGATAAAACCGCTTCTTAAAAAGCACAACCTCGATTCAGAGGTTTTAGCCAACTATAGACCTATTTCTAATCTTCCCTTCCTCTCAAAAATTCTTGAGAAAGCAGTCGCAAAACCACTGTGTGATTACTTAAAAAACTATGATTTATTTGAAGATTTTCAGTCTGGCTTTAGAACACATCATAGCACAGAGACAGCTCTGGTTAAAGTCACAAATGACATTCTAATAGCCTCAGACAAGGGACTTGTCTCTATTCTTGTCTTGCTCGATCTCAGTGCTGCATTTGATACTATCGACCATGATATCCTATTGCAAAGACTAGAGCACTTAGTTGGCATACAGGGAACTGCTTTAGGCTGGTTTAGGTCCTATCTATCTGAACGCTCTCAGTTTGTACGTGTCAACGATGAATCTTCCATGCAAACCAAAGTTAGCCATGGAGTGCCACAGGGCTCAGTGCTTGGACCTATTTTGTTCACACTATATATGCTTCCGTTAGGCAATATTATAAGGAATCCTTCTGTAAACTTTCATTGTTATGCGGATGATACTCAACTATATTTATCAATCAAGCCTGATGAAATTAATCATCTAAATAAAATTCAAGACTGCCTCAAGGACTTAAAAACGTGGATGACCTTACATTTTTTGATGTTAAACACGACCAAAACTGAAGTTATTGTACTTGGCCCGAAGAATCTACGGAAACAAATTATCTAAAGATATATGGATGGCATTAATTGGCCTCCAGTGAGACTGTAAGTAATCTTGTTGTTATATTTGATCAGGATTTATCCTTTAACACCCACATAAAATCAATTTCAAGGACCGCCTACTTCCATCTACGTAACATTGCAAAAATCAGGCATATCTTGCCTCAAAACGATGCAGAGAAACTAGTCCATGCATTTGTTACTTCAAGGCCTGGATTATGTGTAACTCCTTATATCCAGTTGTGTTCCAAGAAGTCAGTTCAAGATCGCTTCAGCTGCATTTCAATGCTTATCTGTATGCGTGTAATTGTGTTCGGCTATTCTGCCGTCTAGGGGAGAGCTTTAAAAGGAGACTAGATGGACTCCTCTCAAAGTTCATTGTGTTTACTCTAATTAAAAAAAGCCGGTTCGTCACAAGCATGCTTTTGTTTGTCAGACAAACGGCTGTGATCCTCGCTCGTCAGTAAATAGATGCGGATGATCTGTCCTCGGTCCTGTTTATATCCTCAAATGCTGGTCTCCGATCTTGCCAGCCTGGCTGTGCGTCGTCTCAAGCATAGTCCGATGTTGCATTTACTCAGTGGATTCTGGTTTCCTATTACACATATGTATTCAATATATGCTTGGAAACACGCCTTTTTCCAAAATTGATATTCTCTTTTCTCATTTTTCACCAATGTCATTGCACATTCTGTCCGCTGTGATCCAATCCTCGTAGAGAAAATGCTTCTCTGCTGAGTTTTCCGATTTTCACATGTAAACTGCTCACGTGGATGAAGTTTTTCGATTAAGGTTTACATTGGTCTGTGTGTTGTCTTTATATAATCTCGGTTGTGATCGGTAATACAAGACATTACTTGTTTGATGTTTAACTACATGTCCCCATAAACATTGATGTTATTGTTTACTCGTACGGTACCAAGAGTCTACGAAACAAAAACTATCCACAGATTACTCCTGTTCGGCTGCGCTTACTCTGGGCCTCCTATGAGACTGTACAGCGAATCTTGGATGTTATATTTGATTTCAATTCTCTCCTTATAACGCGCGCATGACTCAATCTCAAGGACCGCCTACTTCCATCTTACGCATACCACTTTAGCCTTACTGTTACTGGGCATCTTGCCTTCAAATGATGCAGAGAAATTAGTCCATGCATTTGTTTACTATAGTCTCTGAATGTACTCATGTAACTAGTAGCCTTTTCTGTGCGTGCTACCCAAGAAGTCAGTCAAGTCGTTCAGTCTGATTCAAAATGCCCTGCGGCTCGTGTAGCTAACCAGAAGTTAGGAAAAGGGACCACTTACTCCGTTACTGGGCTGATTCGACTGAGCTCCCTATAGTACTCGCTAGGAATTTAATAGCTTATCTTTTCTCGGCGTACAATCTCTTCTTCGGCTAGTCTCTGTCTTATACCTGAATAACTCATTATGTTCCGATGTAACCCCTTCCCCATTGAATTTTTTTGTTTGGGTTGGTTTATACACGCGGTTATCGTCGACGTCGGGTATGGAGATCTGCGCTCAGCTGTTGTCTTTGGTGTGAGAGTCTGATCTTGCATGTCTGGGTGCGTTGTGGTCCTGGAGTCATTAAGGTCTCTGCTCGTATGTAGTCGTATCTCTGTTGGATTGCTGCGATTTCCTATATACACACTATGCAGTTCCAGATGTATCTTGCGGTACCTATGTTGCAAATGTTATTTGCTTTTCAATTTACTACTGTGACATCTATTTGCATCGTCTGTCGCGTCCGTGGGGTAGGTGTTCTCCTTTGTTGCTACTTTCTGCTGAGGTCCTTTTCCCTTAAACTGGGTGGTTTCATCTGGAAGTTTTTCCTTGTTAGGTGTTAGGGTTTCTATGTACAGAGTGTGCGTTTGTCTACTGTATTCTGTACAACTGTGACAGTCACGGACAATATTGGTTGTTCTATATAAATAAAGTTGAGTTGATTGATTGATTGATTGACCATACTGACAGCAGGTGGAGGGGTCACCTCTCCTGTCCAGAGGTTGATGATTATGTCAAGTGAAAAGCATCTGCCTGTTTAACGGTGATGCCTTGTGACATGGAAACAAAGGGGAGGCTGTGGTTTGCCCTCAGATTGACCGGCTCATGCTCATGTGTGTTTGTTCACTGGATGCTTCGTGTTGTGTTGTCTTGTGTTGTTGTGATTCGAGTGTCAAAGAAGATCGTGTGTAGTGGGTATATATTGTGTATGTGAGCAGGATGGTGTGAACTAATGTATTCGAGATTGCGTGTAGTACAATCTTTGCATTGTAATAACTGGCAATTAAGTACAAGTATAACTGATCTCGATGGTGGTATGTTTTGTGTGAGTATAAAGTACGCGTGTGAAAAAGTAGTGTGGTGTGTGTGAGAGAGAATGAAAGAGGGAGGTGGATGAGCGGCGATCGGTGGAGCGCGTGAGGGTTTTTATCATAAAACAACTATTAGGGAAATTGCCACCAATGATCTTCGGTGAGTGTTTTAATGGGGGTGACTTAGGATGGGATATGAGTCTAACAGTTCGGACTCGGAGTGGATGAAGGTGTGGTAGTGTTGGTTGTCGTGGTGGGATGGGTGAGAGTGGTATGAGACTGTTACGTATGTATATGTTCTAAGATATGGTATATTATCTATGTTTTTTCATATATGTATGAGGACGTGTGGCGCGGGGGGGTGGCGTTGAAAGCGTGATGGGGGTAAGGTGTAGTGTGTCAGCCGACTGATTATGTATATTCAGTGGCGCGAAAGAAGACAGGTGAGTCCCAAATTGTTGCGAATGTCTCTCACCTTAATAAAGCTGATGTAGTGTGAGTATGTTCCTTAATTTTCGAGTCCTAGGTATACTATCTGTTGCTGAAGATCAAATCGTAGCAACTGATAAAAATCCAGAAAGGTTTCGACAGTCTGATTTAAGAATTTATTTGCAAATTATGTTGGATAAGTATATAGTATGATTATTGGTCAGATACAAAAGTTAATTGTCAATCGGTTATATAC